AGATTACTTACAGATAATCAGAGTTGGAAGGGACCTTGTAGGTCATCTAGTCCAACCCCTCGCCCAAGCGGGAGACCCTACACCATTTTTGACAAATGGCAGTCCAATCTTTTGCCTGCATAGATTTTAATGTATGTATTCAGTTCTCTTAAAATGGCAGTTTCCAATCTTTACCAGATTTAGATTTTACCTACTTATGTGGTACCAGTGAGATTTAGACAATAGCTCATGTATAAGTGCCAGGTTTATAGAAAGTTTCTTTTGAAAAGTATTTCTTAACGAAGACACCAAGAGTGACTGAGGAATTTGACATACATTTCTTATTAGGAGATTGTTGTTCAAAAAGAATGGACTTCGTTAGATATCTATTTTTATACTGAAGTTTCCTATTCCATGTGGTTAGATAATCTATAATTTTAAAAGAGCCAACATCAAAATAATATTTGGAAGAAGGATACCTTATTCTGAGTAGGACAATCACAATACAAGTGATTTATTACATTTTCTCCCTGCTCTTTCCCTTTCTTTCAGTTCATATATTTTTGCTGGCAGGAAAGTTGGTTTAGTGAGAAATCTCGTGTAGAAGACTCACACTTTTATAAAGACTGGATGATGCATCTTTTATCATATGTAGAATAAGAACATCATACGTGTTTTTTACATGTATTTTATCATAGCTGGAAAGTTTTAATAATTAACAAAGATGCAATTCATATATAAATATATAGATGTGCGATTTTTAAATATCCCTTCAGGATAGGTACCAAACATATGCTACTATTTATTTATAAAATGAGGCTGAAAATAATTGTAACTAATACTAACATTTTAAATGAGAGTTAGTACCAATAATAAGGTGAAAGAGACAAATATTTTTTTTTCTGTCTAATTTTTCTTTTGGGGGACATTTCCCTATGCATTTATTCCAGTAAGTAATTTACTGAATGGATTTGAGTTTCATTACATGCAACAACTGAAGATAATAGGTTTGAAATTTGTAGCTGAAACATGGTTGCCCTTGGAGTCACCTTCTTTTGTTATAGAGCAAATTTCAGCTTGCCTCTTCTTGAATTAAAGAAAAACATTCTGCATTGCAGTCTGCTTAGGTGGTAGTGGCATTTCCCCCCCCACTAAAAAGCTAGCAAATATATTACAGCTTGCCCTTTCTTGTTTTGAAAAACTGGCACCTGAATAGGCATAGTTTTGTGTTTTGCATATCACAAGTTGCTTCATTAAAAGCAACAGAAGTCAGCAGAATCAGAGGAACATCTGTATGTTTTAGATAGATTTCCCTCTTTTTGCAGCTTCACAATACATTTGCTTGCTTCAAAACCATCCTTGTTTATTAATCTGTTAGTGACACAAAATATCTATTTTAAGTCCATTATTATTATATTGAATTTCATTATTTATTATCTGAATGTTATATACAAAGATAATGTTTTCCTAAATCAATTGAAGAAAATAATAACTTTAAATTGGGGAGATTGGAGATAATAGGGTATTGATTGCAGGGCTTGAGTTTGTTGTTGATATCTTTGATTGAAGTCCTCTTTTTTTTAAAAAAAAAAAAATCAGAGCCTTTCCACTATTTAAGGGATTACAGCAAAAGCATAGGAAGAATAAATGTTAGAGTAATGTCTTTAATGATTGGATGAGTGGGGGTGACTTTCAAGTTTATTTTATTTATTTATTTATTTTGATTTGTCAATCGCTTACAAGATAATAGGTATAAGTATATACTACAGAGTCAGGTAGAGTATTCCAGACATTGACCACTCTGTTGCTGAAGTCGTATTTCCTGCAATCAAGTTTGGTGCGGTTAACCTTGAGTTTGTATCTGTGGTGTGCTCTTGTGTTGTAATGGTTGAAGCTGAAGTATTCATTGACAGGCAGGACATTGCAATGTATGATTTTATATACCATACTTAGATAAGACCGAAGACGGCGTAATTCAAGGTTTTCTAGGTCTAGAATTTCAAGTCTGGTGGCTTAAGGTAAATGAGTAGAGGAGTGGAGAACTCTTCTTGTGAAATATTTCTGGACTTTCTCAACGGTGTTAATATCAGATACGTAATGTGGGTTCCAGACTGATGAGCTGTATTCGAGTATTGGTCTTGCAAATGTTTTGTATGCTCTAATTAGTGTGATATTACCAGAGAAAAAGCTACGCAGGATTAAGTTAACAACTCTTAACACCTTTTTGGCTATGTAGTTACAGTGGGCTCTAGCACTTAGATCATTAGAGATGAGCACTCCAATGTCCTTTACAAAGCTTGGATCATCAACAAGGTCTTGACTATTCAGCTTGTATTTTATTTTCTGATTTTCTTTTGTCAATATGTAAGACAGAATATTTATTCACCCCAAAAACTTTTACCTTAGACTGTTTACTATTGACCTCCTCCCTTTCCTAAGAGGTCTGTAGGGGGTGTGCATAAGCGCACCAAGGTGCCTACCGTCCCTGTCCTATTGTTTCTTTTATATATTTTTTAATTTTTCTTATATGTATCCATGTATTCATAACGATGTTTTACTTATACCTATTATCTTGTAAGCAACTGACAAATAAAAATAAATAAATAAAAAATAATAAATTTGTTGAGATTTGAAGTTGCCATTTTTTGACCATTCTGATACATAGTCAAGATCTTTTTGAAGGGTAGCAGTATTGTCTGTGGTATTGAACAGCTTTACATCATCAGCGAAAAGAACGCAATTGCTCTTAATATGATCACAGAGGTCATTTATGTCGAGTATGAAAAGAGTTGGTCCTAGAACACTGCCTTGGGGGACACCACTGTTGACAGGTACAGAATTTGATAGGACACTCCTAATTTTGACCATTTCTTGTCTGTTGGACAGGAATGCTTCTATCCAGTTATGCAGGTGTCCAGAGATACCGTAAGATTTTAGTTTTAGGAGTAGTTTGTCGTGTACCACTGAATCAAAGGCTTTACAGAAGTCTATGTAGATTGCGTCTATTGCTTTCCCCTGATCGAGTTGTGTAGTCCATATGTTTTTGCAGTGTAAGAGTTGCAAATTACATGATAGTTTTTTCCTGAAACCAAATTGTTTATTAGAGAGTAGGTTGTTTGTTTCTAAGTGGAGGATAATGGATTGGTTAATAATAGATTCCATGACTTTACAGGTGATGCAGCATAAAGAGATTGGTCTGTAATTTTCAACTAGGCTGGGGTCTCCCTTTTTGAAGATGGAGATGACCGTGGCTTGTGACCATAGTTTCAGTAAGGAGCTGCCAAGAAGCTGGTTCGGCTATGGCAGTGGATAGCTTTTTTAAGAAGTAGGCACATATTCCGTCCGGTCCAATAGATAGAGATGGTTTTAGATTGCGTAGTGCTTTTTCAACACTGTCTTCTGTAAAATCGATATGTATTAGATCATTGTAGTTATCTGTGGTTCGACTAGGAAATACTGGGCATGATCCATTGCTGTTTACAAATACTGAGCCAAAGAACGTGTTAAAGAGGTTGGCTTTAATGCTGTCGTCATTGCAGTCTTAACCATTAGGTCCTATCAGGGGTGGAATGGACCTTGAGTCTTTTAGTTTGTTGTTTACAAAATTGTAAAAAGCGCGGGTGGAATTGGTGCGTAGAAGGTTTTTCTCTTGTTTAATGTGATAATTGGTGCATTCAGTCTTTATCTGGTGGCATAAATTTTTGTATCGGCTTTTGAAGTTGGCAACGTGACCAGATTTGTTTTTCCGCCAAAGTGATTTCTTTTTGGATTGAAGTTTCCTTATTGTTATGGGTAATCTGTTTTTTGTTTGTTTGTTTGTTTTGGGAGTTGTTATTGGTACATATAGTTTAATGACTCTTTTGACTTCAAGTAAAAATATGTTGTAATGGGCTTCAACAGTATTGCATCCAGTGAATAGAGATTGCCAATTAAGGGATGAGAGATTGTTGTCTATAAGATCATAGTTGCCTTTTTTGAAGTTATAATTAATTTTAAAGTTAATTATATCCCAGCTGAAATTATGTTGACTACCATTAGGAAAAGGATGCTGGCTAAAATTTATTTCATTTTGGAATTGGAAAACTGTACTGCCTTAATTTTTATAGAACACTTGTGTCTTAAGACTCTATTTCTGTTTATCACTAACTAGCATGGTTAGAGACAAGGGCTTGTTGGAGTTACAGATATGGAAAACATCTGATCCATCATCATGTTCTCCACTCCTGTCTTAATTTCCTTTTTTTTTTTTCCTGATGGTTGTTTTCCCCCCATTTATGTCTTCCTGTCACATGAATGGTCAGGATTCTCTTTAGCTCATTTGGGAAGAAGATGAAGTGACAAGATAGGGAGAAAGTGAACTATTTATTGTTCACGAGCATGCTGAAGCAGAACTTAGGTGGAGAGAGGAGGGCGAGAAGGAAGAGAAGATTAGAAGAGGAGAAAAAGAACAATAACAAAAACTTGTATGCAGCCTGCCTCTCAACAATTCTGGGTGACATGACAAAGAAACTGCAATAAAATCAATAAAACATAAAAGATATAGAAAAAAAGCTGACAAGCATGATGAATCGGGGAATTTCATTACATTAAGACAATTTCATCATAAAATGTAATTTCAAGACTTCATCATTTTGATCCACCCCTCACCTCAAAATGTTGCCCACCACTTTTCCCATCAGGAAAAAGCAGAAGAGGTAAGGCACTTCTGGGTAATTGTAAGACATCAAGAGATAATGTTTTGGAGTGACAAGGGATTTTGATCTCAACCAGTATCTTTATGTAAAAGACTGGAAGTTTCCACTCCTCTGTCTTTCCCTTGTGATAAAACCGTATCTCTAAAAACTTAAGTCATTTTTTCCCCAGAGAGAATATTCTGAAAAGCTGAAATGCAGGGCCCATTTCCTCTGAAGTAATAACCTTCATCATTTCCCTTGAAAACCTTCATCGTTTCCCAGAAAAAAATGGAGATCACCGTTCACATATTGTCCTCCAAAAGCAGATTAAATTCTTTTGTTTTACAGGCCGGACCTGGTAGACATGAATACTGTTGCTGTTCAAAGCAACCTTGCAAATTTAGAGCATGCTTTTTTTGTAGCTGAAAAACTTGGAGTTGCCAGGCTTTTGGATCCTGAAGGTGAGTTGATGAATTGAAAATACTGTTGAATGACAGGCTTCAAAAAGCATGACAGGAAGCCTGATGTTGTGTTACCTGTATTGTAAACATTGCCTGTGTCCACTGGTACATTTTAGATGTCGATGTCTCCTCACCAGATGAGAAGTCAGTAATCACTTATGTATCATCACTTTATGATGCATTTCCCAAAGTACCTGAAGGTGGTGAAGGCATCAGTGCACACGTAAGTAAGAAAGTAGTTTTTATACACTCACAGCAATTTTTAGGCAGAAATACTGAAAGATTATCTAAAGTTAAGAGTGTGGCTGTCTCACTAGAGCTCAAAACTTATGTAACTGCTATTTACTGTAGAGAACAACTTGAATAATAAGAGGTCATAGAATGATAATACTAAGAAGTGAGAGTTCTCCACTTGGTCATACTTCTTCCATGCAGGGAATGTGAATCCACTTTCAGATGACATGTTCTGTTGCAGTGATGGGATTCAAATATTGTTGCCACCGGTTTGGTGGGCGTGGCTTGGTGGGCATGCTTTGCGCGCGTGCACTCACTTTGCATGCCCACGTGCTCCAAATGCACACTTTGCGCAGGCGCAGAGGTGTTCCAACTCACCTCCTGCAAGCCTGCACAATCCCGGTCACTTCAGCAGCTGCCCCGCGGCGCTCGTCTGTGCCGCGCAAAGCAGCAGCGTTTCAAATTCAGCAGATAAAAGTGAGTATGGGAGCCCGGGTGGACCCAACAGCAGAGCGGTGGAGAGAACCGGTTCAGTCTCCACTACTCATTGCTGTACCGGCTCGCCAGAACCGGGCTGAACCAGTTGAATACCACCACTGTTCTGTTGGGTTTACCTGATGTTTAGGCTATTGAGCCAGGGCATTTTGAAATGAGTTCTTATGGACATGATGCTGATTAACGTATATCATGAAATTGGCAACTAGATGTATGAGTAATTTTGGGGGCCTCTTCAAGCTGACCCACTAGAACAGCATTTCTCAATGTTTCTGGGTTGGGGGCCCAGCATAGGGTGAGGGGGAAAGGGGATGGTTTTGTGTGAAGGGTAGGTGCATGCATACAGCTTTGTTTGTATGAGCGCACGCCTGCCACACGCACGAGTTGGGCTGCAAGTGTCGTCATCTGCCCATGTGAGTTGAGCTGTGTGCTCACATATGCGCACCAGTCTACCATTCACGTGGCCCAGTTTTGAATAGGCCACAGCCCAGTAGTGGGCTGCGTCCCACAGGTTGGGGACTTCTGCACTAGAGCATAACCAAGAAAGCATAAAGGCATGATGCCATAGAAATAGAGTTATGAAGTTAAAAACAGGTCGGGGGTGGGGGGAGAAAAAGAAGGAAAAGAGAGGGATATTGACAGAAGAGGGCCTAAACAAAAAGTATAATGCTTACAGTAAGGATGGCCTGTTTCTCAAGGGAAGCAAGGGAAGTGCTAGTAGTATAAGCTAGAAATCAGGTGAACAGTAGATAAGAAAACTAAAATCAGATAACAGAAGGATACATGGCTACAAATATAGAGGGGCTATAAAGGAGAGTGGGCAAAGAATCAGCAAAATCTCATATTGGGTATAGGAGACGAGGAGAATTTGAATCAGAAGCCAAAGAGGTATAGGGCTGGAAGATCCAGTTTCTGCAGTATTATTCAAAAATCACTTGCAAAAAGAGACTTTGCCACTTTAAATTGTAATTTTTGTTGTCACTCTAGGACAAAGTTGGATAGAGCTGATTGGTTGCTTACCTATAGTGCAACAGATACAATTGACAAGCAATGTCTTTACAATTGGTATGTTACTTTATTGCTTCTCTTAGGATGTTGAAGTCAAATGGATTGAATACCAGAATATGGTGAACTACCTCATCCAATGGATTAGGCACCATGCCACAATAATGAGTGACAGAGCATTTCCAAACAACCCTGTAGAACTCAAGGTGATTTTTTTTCTTTTGTTTATATTGACAGAATACAGTTTTTAAAAAAAATATTAGGTACTACTTCTCTAGAGTAATCACCTATTCATTTATAGTGATCCACAAAACTCCAAAGTCCTTTAAATCAGTGATCCCCAACCTTTTTGACACCGCGGCCCGGTACCGGCATCAGCTGGGCACCGCGGCCCGGTACCGGCATCAACTGGGCGCCGCCATCTTTTTTTGATGAAAAAGTGCTTCCGGTGACCTCACCGGAAGCACTTTTTCGTCAAAAAAGATGGCGGCGCCAGCGCTTCCGGTGAGCTTTTTCGGGTAGAAATGGCTTTCTACCCGGAAAAGCTCACCGGAAGCGCTGGTGCCGCCATCTTTTTTTGATGAAAAAGTGCTTCCGGTGAGCTTTCTACCCGGAAAAGCTCACCGGAAGCACTTTTTTACCAAAAAAAGATGGCGGCGCCCAGCAACCAGCGGCCCGGTAAGACTTGTTCCGCGGACTGGTACCGGTCCGCGGACCGGCGGTTGGGGACCCCTGCTTTAAATGATAGAAATAGCAATGCTGGAGCATAAAATACTTGATTCAAGAAGGGTCTGTCTTTTTCCAAAGACAGAACCTGCCCAAAGCTAGCTCCAGCACAATGCAGAGTGGGTACAGAAGAGAGTGAATTAAATATGCCAGTATAGCTCTTCTGGGAACTTAAGAGGTTGGCATAGTTTGCAGTGTTACATGTCCCTTTATGTAAAAATGCTGGAAGCTATTATGTCAGAGAGAATTCCTTTTCCCTCTCATGTTATTTTCCTATAAGCATAATTTTTATGCATGGAGTTCTCACCAGTGGATTAGTTTCTGTCCTTATCACATGATCTTGAAATGGGTGGCTATATAAATTTGATAAATAAATCCTCAGTCAATCTACTATTACTCACATGGCAATGGAAAAAAACCCTGGATTTCTGGTCAACTATGTATAAACAGTGATTCTGGATATTAGAATCTTGGGAAGGAGCCACAAATCTAAACAGTGTTCATGTAAAGATTAAGCAATAAAGGGCATCTCCCTGGCTTGGAGGCATTAGAATTCATTTTAATCTGAGGCTGCGCAAGCCACTGCCATGGCTAACCCAAATTTAGTGGTTTGGATTCTTGTCCTGTTCATAAAAGAGACATCAAACAGAATTCTCCACAGCAGTTAACTATGGGGATTACATGCATGAACACCAGCGGGTAGAAGATTTCATTTAACCTTGGACTTAACCAAGATGGTCAAGGGAAAGCTGAATGGGAGACATACGGTTTAATTCTCTCTTTTCTTATAAATCCATGTGTTTTGTTCTTGATGTTAAGTAAGTTAGACAATTTGGTTTCAAAATGAGGAGCATGACAAGTTTTTATAAGCCTTAGTAAACCAGAATATCTCAGTAAAGACTTCAACGTTTGTTTTCCTTTAGGCACTTTATAACCAATATTTACAATTTAAAGAAACAGAAATTCCACCAAAGGAAATAGACAAATCAAAAATCAAGCATCTATATAAACTACTAGAGGTAAGCTATATTGTGTGGACTGGCGCAGGCTGGATTTATTTCTCACTTTTATGCTTGATTTGGTTTCTCAATTTTATGCAATTATTCCTTGCCTTCAAAGGTTTGGATTGAATTTGGGCGTATCAAGCTTCCTCAAGGCTATCATCCAAATGACATTGAAAAAGAATGGGGGAGGCTAATTATTGCTATGTTGGAAAGAGAGAAAATGCTTCGACCAGAAGTTGAAAGGTAGGTTGATTATTTGTTTTATAGCGTGTTTCCCTGCCAGGTTGAAACTGCTCAGTAGGATACATTACATAATAGACAGAGACACTTTAATCTTGAAACAAAGGTAGTAAAAATTTCCTTTGTAGAAATGAATTGTTGGGTGAGCTCATTAATTGGATATTGCTTTTATATTGAACGAATATCTTTACTGATGCTTATTTTTATTGACATAATTATCAAGCAGCTTATGCAGAATTCTGTATTAAATAACAAATATGTAACTGTAACCTTGTCTGATGTTTTGCCCATCAGAATTTGGACAATTATTCCAGTTATCAAACATTGCTTACAGTTATACAGTTTTCTCAAGGTTTATGTTTCAATCCTGACCAACTTTTGAGTGAATAATCAATTTTTTATTAAGGTTGCAGACCAGCAAAAAGTAGATGATACTTTCCGAAGTTTGCCATGGCATTTACAGGATTGAGTGGGCTCCCACTATTTTTTTCTGAGACACCTCAAGAGGGTTAAAAAAAAAAAAAAAGTGCCGGTTATCCCAAGTCTTGGTGACCCCCAACTGAGATGGCACACCAAATCCCTTGGAAGGTTGCAATCTTGGTAGATTGCATCAAAGCCTTGTGCCATGGTGTCTGCTCAAGGAAATTCATACTGATGCCAAGGCAGAGGTGGTATTCAACCGGTTCGCACCTACTTGGGTGAACCGGTAGCGGTTATTTGGCGTGGGTCACCGAACCGGTGGCGACCCCTGGCTGTCCATGCCCCCAACCCGGTCGCCAGGTCACTCACTTGCAATCACTCTCCTAACTTTCCGTTCCCCATGTTCTTTTTTTTCCCGGGGGAAAGGAAGAAAGGCATGGACGCTGCAAGTATCACTTTCTCCAAGTAAGTTAAAGTGTCTCGAGAGAGAAGGAGTGCGGTCTGACAGAGGGGGTGGGGGTGAATTGAACCTTGGAGCACTTTTGCAACATAAAAGAAATGCATTTTGGAAGAGGTCCTTTAAAAACTTCTCCAAGGATTCCCCATGGATGCTGCAAGTATTGCTTTCCCCTTGTGAGTTAAAGTGCTGGAGTGAGAAGGAATGCGGTCTGACAGAGGGGGTGGGGGAATCCACCCCAGCCTTGGAGAAATTTAAAGGAGCTGCTTCCAAAATGCTTGTCTGTTAAGTGCTGTGTGTGTGAGAGAGGGGGGGGGGGGAGAGAAAGAAAGAAAAAAATAGGAAGAGAGAGAGATAAAACTCTGTGCTATTATTTTTAATTGTTCCATTATTTATCGTGTGTTAATATTTTACACTGTCCCTATCCCAGAGTGATTTTTCTGCCTTTCTTTTGCCCAGGGTTACCACATATTTTTCAGGGTTTGCATGTATTCAATGTCAATAGTCCAGAGCATAAAATACACATGTGTTTAACAAGAGTTGAAAGGGACCTTGGAGGTCTTCTAGTCCAACCCCCATCTCAGGCAAGAAAACTGAGGATGCCAAACTGAGTAAAAATCCTGGGAAAGGCACCAGAATAATACTTAGAAGGGACCTTGGGGGGAACCCTGTACCATTTTAGAGAAATGGCTGTCCGGTCTTATCTTAAAAAGTTCCAGTGATTGAGCACCCAGAACTTCTGGGGACAAGCAGGTCCACTGGTTAATTGTTCTCACTGTCAGGAAGTTTCTCTTTAGTTTTAGGTTGCTACTCTCTGTTCACTTTCCATCTATTGTTTCTTGTTTGCCTCCTGGTGCTTTGGAAAATACATTCCCCCTCCCCTTTCTTTGTGGCAGCCCCTTAAAAGCCTGTTGCTTATATCACACTCTTGAGTAAAGCATGTGAGCCATTTCCTCCTTTCAGTGGTCCATGAAAGTACATCTATAGTATGCAGATAATAAAGTCAAAAAAGGTGAACAACATTTTTACAGAACTAAGATAAGTTGAGGCTGGGTGACAAGCAATGGCTGGGAGGGGAGGGGCCAGGTGAGGGACCCCTTGATGTGAGTGACATTGAGTTGGCCATGCCCACCCAGTCACATGACCATCAAGCACGCCCACCCAGTCACATAATCACTAAGCCACACCCACCCAGTCACATGACCACCAAGCTACGCCCACCAAATAAGCCACGGCCACAGAGCCGGTAGTAAGAAAAATTGAATTCCACCACTGTGCCAAGGACATTGTGTGCCATGAAATCAAAGCAAATAGGCTGACTTCCCAAGGCCATGTGCAATCAGGGTAGTCTTTTCAGGACTGCTTGAGTCTCCTGGACAATTACTGAGAATTCACATTATGTTCCCTGCTAGTCTGAGGCAGAGAAGAGATGAAAGCTGTACCCTTTAGCACCCAAATAATTTTAACAATGAAAAATAAGGAATTCCCTGTCCCCTTTCAAGGAAAAAAATGAAAATCTTGCTTGGGCCAATATATGAGAAAATGGCTGTGCCCATTCTACTGGTTACCATGCTCATGATCCTTGCCTTTCAAGAGTTATGTTTTATACCAGATCTCTCTCTCTCTGTGTGCACGTCGGTGTGTATACATGTATTTGTGTATCTTATAATAATTAACTCTATTAATTTAGTGCCATGCAAAGTACCAATGTTGCAAATTCTATGCAAATATTTTTAAGTGGAATCCCTCTATTAGGCATATAACACGGACATGGGCATCTATATGAAAAATAAAGGGAGGGGATGTAACATGTTCATTATGTAACTTGAGTCAGAATCATGACATAATCGCACAATTGTGTCATTAGCATGGTGACATGAACATTATGTTTCCTTATGTTGTCATGCAAGTACTATAAATGCATCTGGCTGGACACAGTCAAAATTGGATTTTTCCCCCCACCGATGACCTGCTCTGAGCCTCCCCAAAACATTTATCTTGGGGAAAATGCTGAATTAAAGGGTATCCTGTGGATTACTTAAAGCAACAAAAAATTGCAGGCAAAGACTAGATGCAATCATTAAGGTTGATGTTTGTTGCTACTGCAATACCCATTATGTAGAAAGTAAGCCAGTAAAGGTCTAGAGATTAGTAATGGCTGAGTATTCTCTCTCAGATGACCCAACCAAGAAACCTTCCGTTTGCCTTTTGATCTCTCTGACTTTGTCCAGATTTGCCTCCAGCTTAACGAAGTAAGAGAGCAAAAGCAATTATCCTATTCATTCAGGGCTTTATTTCTTCTTTACATGGTAGCCAAAGGGATCCCTCCCATTTCCGTATGCTAATGATTTCCCTCAGTAGGCATTGTGTTTATTAGGAAAACAAAAAGTTGCGGTAATCTGTGGTCATACTTGGTAGGAAAGGGTCTTGGTGGGCAGAGAGAGAAGGGAGGGACCTTGCTTGAGGTCTGTGGGGAAATGGATTCATTTGATGGGCCAGCTATAAATCCCTCATCGCTGCTGTCCATGAAAAAGGGTGGTATACCCTCAATCCAGGTTGTAGTAATTTTTTTTCCTCCCATCATTAAGCCTAACTTTTTCATCTTGTGTGTTTTCTTATCTAAAGGAGCTTCTGTTTGAGGGGAAATTGGGAGACACTAGCTATGTTTGAGAAGAGACATGTATAAGGCAGTGGCATCATGGAATATAATCACTAATTTCCAATCAGCATAGCCTCTCTTGGAGTATAGATATATTCAAAGTTTGGAGGTTACCTTTAAGTAATTTGCATCACGGTCAGTCAGTAGTTGAAAGTGTCTCAGTAGTTTTGCTGTAGTAGTTGTTAACTTTAGTGGGCAAGAGCTAAAGAGTGAGATAGCCCAGTTTTTGCTAGATATTCTGTATTGGGGATGCAAAAATCCATTTGATTTCTAGATTTCCATTTGATCTAGATAACTAGATGCGAGCAAAGAGTTTTGAGTTTGCTCCATCTTTGCTATCCTCACAATGTTCATATATGATAAGCCTAATCTTAACGGTTTAGAATAGCATTAATATAAACTGGAGGTCAATTACAGAATAGGGATTTGTTGAACAATAAGATTAATTATAAAACAATAAAATAATTCATTATAAGATTCATTATAAAATAAATCTGCTGTTAAAGGAAGAGTAGTGCTGAAGGAGCAGCGGCCTCAACTTCCTTAACAAAGTAAAGACTGTAGAATTCTAATGATATATAATATTGATACTCCTTGCCAGCAAGAAATCAGAACACCTGGCTGTGCTGGCATTTTTGCCTGTACACGTTCAAAATCTTTTTAATGCCAAACGGTTAAAGGAATTGCTACCACATTTTATAGAAAAAATTATAGCAGTCAGTAAACTGACATTAGTGTCCAAGCCTAAACACTTGCTAGCCAATTGCAAAAATAACCATTGACTCTGCAATTCTGATCTTTTTATAGAATAGAATTGAATTCTTTTATTGGCCAAGTGTGATTGGACACACAAGGAATTTGTCTTAGTGCAAATGCTCTCAGTATACATAAAAGAAAAGATACATAGTCATAGGGTACAATAAGCAATCAAATCATACTAGGAAACAATCTGTATCAATTGTAAGGATACACACGACAAAGTTACAGTCATACAATCACAAGTGGGAGGGGATGGGCGATAAGGAGTGATGAGAAGATTAATAGTAATAGTAGTGCAGACTTTGTAAATAGTTGGACAGTGTTGAGGGAATTATTTGTTTTGCAGAGTGATGGCGTTCGGGGAAAAACTATCCTTGTGTCTAGTTGTTCTGGTGTGCAGTGCTCTATAGCGTCGTTTTGAGGGAAGGAGTTGGAACAGTTTACGTCCAGGATGTGAGGGGTCTGTAAATACTTTCACAACCCTCTTTTTGACTCGTGCAGTATACAGGTCCTTGATTGAAGGCAGGTTGGTAGATATTGTTTTTTCTGCAGTCCTAATTATCCTCTGAAGTCTGTGTCTGTCCTGTTGGGTTGCAGAACCAAACCAGACAGTTATAGAGGTGCAGATGACAGACTCAATAATTCCTCTGTAGAACTGTATCAGCAGCTCCTTGGGCAGTTTGAGCTTTCTGAGTTGGCGCAGAAAGAACATTCTTTGTTGTGCTTTTTTGATGATGTTTTTGATGTTAGGTATCCATTTTAGGTCATGTGATATCGTAGAACCTAGAAATTTGAAGGTCTCTACTGTTGATACTGTGTTGTCTAGTATTGTAAGAGGTGGTAGTATGGGAGGGTTTCTTCTGAAGTCTACCACCATTTCTGTGGTTTTGAATGTGTTCAGTTCCAGGTTGTTCCAGTTACACTACAAGGCAAGTTGTACAACCTCATGTCTGTATGCGGATTCGTCGTTGTCTCGAATGAGACCAATCACTGTTGTGTCATCTGCAAACTTCAGTATTTTAACAGATGGATCGTTTGAGTTACAGTCATTGGTATATAGGGAGAAGAGAAGTAGAGAAAGCACACAGCCTGGGGGTGGGGCTGTGTTAATTGTACAGGTATCAAATGTGATTCTGCCTAGCTTCGCCTGCTGCTTCCTGTCTGTTAGGAAGCTTATGATCCGCTTACAAGTGTGTTCAGGTACCACTAGCTGGTTTAATTTACTTAGAAGAGTGTCTGGAATGATGGTATTGAATGCTGAACTGAAGTCTACAAAGAGGACCCTCGCGTAGGTATTTGGAGATTCAAGGTGTTATAGGATGTAGTGCAGAGCCATATTAACAGCATCATCTGTCGATCTATTTGCTTGGTATGCAAACTGCATGGGATCTAACAGCGGATCTTTGATGGTTTTCAGGTGGGACAACACTAGCCTTTCAAAGATTTTCATAACTACCAATGTTAGAGCAACTGGCCTGTAGTCATTCAGTTCCTTGATGGAGGGCTTCTTTGGCACTGGGATGATAGTAGAGCGCTTGAAGCAAGAAGGAACATAGCACATCTCTAGTGATTTATTGAAAATTCGGGTGAAGATGGGGGCCAATTGGTCAACACAGACTTTTAAGGAAGAAGGAGTTATCTTGTCTGGCCCTGGTGCTTTTCCTGGCTTTTGTCTGTGAAATAGATGTTGCACTTCTTTTTCAGTGATCACCAAAGGTTGTGAATCCAATGGAATGGGGCCAGTTGTAGGAGGCTTGGCTATTGTTGGTGTGTTTGAAATGTAGGTTGTGGAGATAGGTGGCTGTAGTTTCTTTTCAAACCTGCAGTCAAACACATTCAGGTCATCTGCTAGTTGTTGATTTCCTTCTGCCTGGGAAGGAGGTTTGCTGTAGCTAGTGATGTTTTTAAGAGTTTTCCACATGTTTGCTGGTTCATTTGTTGAGAACTGATTCCTTCACTTTTCAGAATACCTTCTTTTTGCTTCTTTTATCCCAGTAATTGCACAGTGAATCTGCTTAAATAGAACAAAAACATTTTTAAATACATTCTTAATTTGAATTATTTGCAAAGTAGTCTGTGCAAAATAATGTAGTGCCGGTCCTGTTTTGGCTGTAATATAAGCAATTATCAAAAGCACACAGTTGGAGCACAGCTGGGTCAAAATGAAGACAGACTTAAATGAAAGACCCATGTAAAGCAAATATGAATATAATGAATTATTTCATTAAAAATACAACTCTATAGAATGACGATTGATCGATTTTTTTGTTTACAACTTGGGAGTTGCAGATCTTTAAAAAAAGCAAGATCTTATCCTGTCCCATATCAGTTAGGTTTCTGGGATTGGATGACAGTTACCTAAAGGTATTTGGCACTTTTCCTTCAATGTTAACGCCCTAATCATTCTGATTAGTCCCTACTTGTACAGGCACTTAAAGAGTGTGAGCCAAGCCCACATTGGCATATATAGCTGAAGGCAAAATCTGAAAAGAAATAATATTTACAGGATTTTGAATATGCACGCTAAAGCCTGTTTAAGGATGCAATGGTGGAACTGCTCTTAAAGCTAGCTCCTTTCTAGTAGCTGTGCGCCTTTGCAGACATTCTGCTTATTTTCAGTTTTCAAACAACCAAGGAGCTTTTTGAGTATGAAAAATGAATGCTAACAGTTATGGCTACCAGAGTAGTGACTCTTTTAGTAATAGCACTAGTACCCGAACCAGCATCGATTCTAATGAAAACTTCGTATCTGTGAACTGTGGTCCAACTCTTGTTAATTCGTGTATAAGCTTTGGCAATGGTCCAATGGAAGGATCCAGGTAAGTTTTGATACTACATTGCAGAATTTAGTTCAGCTTTATTTGGTAACAGTTAATACTACTTTCTTGTATGGAGAAAGGGTATAATCAGCCTTATGTCTTAACTTTGATGTCTTTAGGTTAGATATGCTGCAGCAAATTGCAAACAGAGTTCAGCGGGACAGCCTCACTTGCGAAGACAAGCTAATGCTTGCTCGAAATGCTACTCAGTCAGTGAGTAATTTTGAATATCTAGTTTTTGACTTTTTTTCCATATTGAAAACCCATGGGGATTGATTATTGGATAAAAGGTAGAAGGACAGCGTCTTTGTTTAGATCTTGTATAATTAAGTACTTACCCTATGGCCAAAATATATCACATTCCATGGCTTCAGGCTTTGCATTTTTAAAACAGGAATTATGAAAACTCTTTTCAAAAATTATTTGGAAGATGAGAAGAATTATCTGTACTTATTAATAGCTCATTTTGGAGTACCATAAAAATGCATCATATATCATCACACATGCAATGAATTGATTTAAACATGAATCTCATCTTTTACATACGATGCCACCTTTCAGGGTTAAAAACATTTTAAAGTAGTATAAAGCTACTGTACTAAATGCTTCAAGCTCTCTCTATGTCAATAAGGCATTGAGAACATATATTCAGAG